GACTTGAACGTTGACCATAACAGGTACAAGAAGAGGAAAAAAGGCAAAGCAGCCAAATAAGACGATTCTCAACCAAAAATGCGAGAGAGGAAGGGGGCAGTCCCAGTTTACTAAAGGACTCAAGGCTCTGGATGAAAAATGAAAGTGAAGGTGATTTAACACAGAATCTTTTCGACCAACATGAGCATAGACTCCCCTCTGAGGACGGGGCCTCGGAGGTGTACGTACCGCAGCAGGACGCAGCGCTCCACGGGCACCCGGGCTAGCGCAGCCGGGCACGGACGCTCCTGCCAGCTCGCCTTCCTCTAGAGGTGTCTGCGCAGGGCTGCATGTGTGTGTGGACGGGTGGTATGTGTAGGGTGTGTGTGTGCATGTGTGCAGGCGCGTGCATGTGTGGTCTGTGGGGCATGTTTGTGGTGTGTCGTGGGACACGTGTATGTGTGTGAGGGAGTGTTGTGTGGTATGTGCCCGTGTAGCTTGTGATGGTGCATTGTGTGTGCACTGTGAGTGGCATATGTGTAGTGCGGGTATACACAGCATGTGTTGTGCATGTGTGAAGGTACAATGCGTATGGCGTGTGTGCTTGTGTGGTGAGTGTTTGTGGTGTGCGTAGGGGGTTGTGTATGTGTTGTGTGTGATGCGTGTAGGTATGTGTGATATGTGAGAGTGTGTGTGCGGTGTGTGTGCACTTGTAGTATAGATGAGAAGGTGTGGTGTTGTGGGGGATTGTGTGCTCTCTCCCCGCTCCTGGCAAGCACACAGTGACCGGCATTTCCTGGCAGATCTTGTGGCCTGAGCTCTGCCGGTGGACGCAGGCACGCCGGGGCCGGCCCTGCCAAGAGAGACAGGCCCTGCGGCCCCGGGTTGCAGCCTCTGCGCAGCCGCGTGTGGATCAGAGCGGGCGCGCGGGTTTGGACCCCAGAGCAGCCCAGGCGCCTTGCCAGAGCCCGCTGGCGTGCAGTCTGCGGCGAGGCCACCAGGCGGCGTTGCTCCCTGTGCTGCTGCCCAGGACTGCGCTGAGGGTGGCGAGGTCATAAAGATGGAGGTCACCGTGCGCTCGCCAGCGGTAGGCGGGTGAATCAGCCCGGCACTATGTGTACGCGCACCCCTGGTGCCTTTCCTGCCAGGTCGTGTTTTCTTGGCGTTCCCGCCAGTGTGTTCTGCTTTGATAGTACAAGTGGCAAAAAGCACTTGCAGAAATGGAAAGACGGTGGCGTGGAGGTTAAGGTGCTGGATCCCACATGGTGGAGACTGCGGTTCAAGTCCTGGACCTCGCAATCGCAGCTTGAAAGTCAGATAGGAACATGTGGTTGTGTGCCAAAAATCCCAAAGGGATTGCAGACTGGCCATCACCCCCTGCAGGGTGCTTTCTGACTCCCCCTCCCCACCCCTGCTCTCTCTCTCTCTCTCTGGCAAGCGCATGGGCCCCATAGGAAACTTTTAAAAAAGGTAACGAGTCGTGTCATCCCGAGAGAAGGCTGCCTTACTCTGCCTGAGACGAAGGAAAGTCGTTAGAGATACAGAACCGTCCTGCTGGCAGCCGCCCTGAGACAAGAAGGCAGGACCGCTGCTGCCACAGGTAGCCTCAGCCTCGGACACTCCCCTCTGCCCAGGCACCCCGAAGTCTGCTGGGAGCTCTCCTGCCCACGTCATCAGCTGGGGTCTGGGTCTGGCTGCCATGTAGTGGTTACCCGCACATTTACCCGAGGGACATCTCCACCTTTAAAAAAAAAGTCTGTGATGGGGTCAACAGGTCCGTAGTGGTTAAGGCGCTGGACTCCCGCACAGTCAGTCGTGGTTCAAGTCCTGAACCTGGAGCCTTGAAAATCGCATGTGCGTGCAGGCCCAAAATTTCAAGTGGAAAATAGAGAAGAGATTGCAGTGGCTGCCCGCCCCCGGAGGGTGGGGAGGAATTTCTCACTCTCACTTTCCCTCTCTCTCTCTCTCTCTCTCTCTCTCTCTCGCAAGCCTAAGCACCTGGTGGCAAAAACCTAAATAAAAAAAGGTCTCCGTTGAGATGAACACATGTGCATGTGCAGACGTGCACACACGCACACACGTTTTGTGGGCCTTCTATGTGCAAGGGATGCCAGCGGCCTCCCAAAAAATGTGCCATCAACAAATAACACGATTAAATGACTAAGCCATTTTGGGGGCTAGCAGGTGGCACGGTGGTTGAGGTGTTGGACTCCTACGTGGCTGACTGCAGCTCGAGTCCTGGGCTCAGGGACTTGCTCTCTCATGCTCTGTCCATCTCCCTCTGGTGAGCACAAGTGCCTATACCAAATTTCAAAATAGTAATAATAGTAAATTCAATAAATAATTCATTTTAGAAATGAATATGCCAGTTCCTGCTCTTGGAAGAAAATTGCATTCCTACATGACTTACTTTGCAGGCAAATAATGACCTTCGGTGTATCTTTACTCAGCCCACAGGACCGCAGTGAAGCTGGCTCTGTTTTCAGGGGAGTCTCCTCAGCTGAGCGTCCGGGCGAGGGAGGGCAAGGGACTGCTCTAGTCAGTCAACACCGTATGTCTGCACCACAGCACCCACTGCCTCCGCAAGGGCTTGCTTTCTTTTTGTTAAGAGAGATTTCTGCTAGAGGGTATGTGCACTTGCCAGAGAGACAGAGAGAGAGAGAGAAGTCACCCCCCAGAGGGAATGGCCATGCCTCAATCCCTTCTCCTCCATTCTCCTCTCAGGATTTCAGTAGGGCCTGCACGCACGTGTACCCAGCGTGAATTTCAAGCCACTGGGTGCAGGACTCAAACCGCGGCCCGCCATGTGGGAGTCCAACACCTTAACCACTACCTGCTGCCCTTCCCCCCACGTGGGTTTTCTAAGCACAGCCCACTGTCTTCCCAACTCTTGGAAAAGTGCAGCTGCCGATGCTGCGGCATAGACAGCCTCCTTGGGGACCACTGGGACTCCGGGCCCTCACAAGGACAGCTTTGCTGCAAAGCCCCAGCTGAGGACCCGGTAAGCGACCAGCGCTGCAGTGGAGAACCAGGTGAACGGTGCATACCCGATTTGCACAGCCCCCCGGCCGGCTCAGGTGTTAGAGAGGAAGGAGACGCGGGCATGCGGCCAGCAAGCTAGCGGCCGAGCTCGGTAACCTGCGCACTGCCAGCCTTCGTCCTGGTAGCTAGACGTCTGGCTTCCCGTGGACGGGGAGGGGTTATCACCTCGGAAATGTGGAGTTCAGCTGGGAGATGCCGACACACAGCTGTGAAAACTTCCTTTCTTTCTAGGTTATTGCAATACTGTTAGAAAATAGTGGGCCAGCAGGTGGTGTAGTGGTTAAGGCGCTGGACTCCCAAGTGGTCGACTGTGCTGCAGGTCCCAGGCCTGGCAGCTTGAAACTCACCTTGTGAGCATGTGTGCCTGAAACCCTGAAAGGAGAATGGCGGAGAAGGGGTTGTGGCCATCCCCCGGGGGGATTTCCTGCTCTGTCTGTCTCGGCGGTGAGTGCACATGCCCTATAGCAAAATAATCTCTAAAAACAAGAAGGACGGCCAGGTGGGAAAGGCCCGGGGTTTGTGTCCTGGGACCTTCTGACAGGCTGAGAGTGTGTGCCCCTGGCCTGGGCCGGCTGGGCCTGGGAGTGAGTCGGCACAGGGACACTGCTGGGTGCCCTTCTCTTAGGAAATAAATAAATAAACTCACAAAAAGAAGTAAGTTGAGACCCTCTCTAGTGGCATAGTCTGAAGGTGCTAGAATGCACACGGCCAGTCGTGGTTTGGAGCCCTGGGCTGGCCAGTGCGTGTGGGCGCCCGAGACCCTGAGGAGCTGAAGGGCTGGGAGAGGGGTCAGGCCTACACACTTGGTCAAGGGTTCTCTCTCTCCCTCTCTCTCTCTCTCCCTCTCTCCCTCTCTCTCTCTCTCTCCCCCTGTCTCCCTCTCTCTCTCCCCCTCTCCCTCTCTCTTCCCCTCTCTCTCTCTCCCCCTCTGTCTCCGTAAACTGGAAAATAATAATAATAATAAATAAAGTTAAATCATTCTTTAAAAAAAAAAATACTGAGCAGGGGAGATAGAGGGTTGCATGGTGGTTAAGGAAAGGGGATTCTCACATGCCCGGCTGGGGTTTG